TGTGTGGTGTGTGTGTGTGTGTGTGTGTGTGTGTGTGTGTGTGTGTGTGTGTGTGTGGTGTGTGTGTGGTGTGTGTGTGTGTGTGGTGTGTGTGTGTGTGTGTGTGTGTGTCTGTGTGTGTGTGTGTGTGGTGTGGTGTGTGTGTGGTGTGGTGTGTGTGTGTGTGTGTGTGTGTGTGTGTGTGTGTGTGTGTGTGTTTGTGTGTGTGTGTGTGTGTTTGTTTGTGGTGTGTGTGTGTGTGTTTGTGTCCCTTCTTCTCCTGCTTAATGTAATGCCCCACCATGTGTTTGTTCAAACACTGCCAAGCATGACCACACGTCTGCCAAACTGTCTTTTTCAATTCGTGCCCGTCATTTTCCATGCTGCCTTCACAGGAAACCTACATGTGCTTGCTCATTCAAAGACAAGTTTCTGGATCGAGATTGGCCTCCGGCATGCAGTGTAGAAGCAGCCTCGGCGCCAGTGATCTGTGCAAAGCATGGCCTTTCACAAGCTGGAAGTCTGAAACGCCGCAGTAAGGAGCCCTTCATAATGATGAGCTCTATTTCCGCCCCTCAGAAAAGAAGAGCCAAATCCTAGGACTGCAGCGCCAGGCAGGCATATCGAAACGCGTAAGTGTTTTGATGTCTGGCAAACCGCTCAAACAAATGTTCTTAGGTTTTCCAAACCGCTCAAACCGCTCAAAATTTGGTTTTCCAAATTGTCTTTTTACCGCCCACCGGCACGTTGTTGATGTATTGGCGGGACCTTCCGCTTTGAGAGGAGCGGGTTTGTTTGCCTCGTTCTGACCTAATCCGCAACCTCGAAACCACCCTCCTGCTTACACGTCGAGATGGGTCCTGACAACCGGCCGGACAACGCATTGGTGACAAATGCCTTTTGGCAAGGAGAAACCTGGCAGCGGAGTCATCGGATGGGTCACGGTTGACATGAGGTATCAGCGCTTCAAGCTCATGAATGAGCATGCAGAGGGAGGAAAGCTGCGAGGACAACACAAAATTTTGCGGAGGTCCAGGCAATTGGAAGGGAAATGGGAGGGACAGCAAAAAACCACTGGACAGCAGTAGGCGTACGCGCGTTGCGCCACATCTATACAACTAGCAGCCGTTGTCTAGTTGATTCTAATTAGCACCCAGCTGGGGAGCTCTATAGGACCTTTCCTTAGGCGGGAACAATAGTTGACATGCCCAAAACACAAGCGATTCAAGTGAATCGAGCAAATGGCGCCAGCGAGTGCAATCACGCTTTTCACTCAGCCTTGAGCCAAATGTATTGGCAATGGAATTCTCATGCACTACACCCGAAGAGGAATTTAAAAGGAACATAACCCCTGAAAAGTGGGTTTGTTCAACTCCCCCCTCTTACGATTTGGGCTAGTGCAGATCGGGTCGCAGCGAAGGGTGAGTTCATCCCTTGCTAAAATGAGTTCATCGACTTAAAAAGGCGACCAAAAGGTAACTCTCGAATTAGTGATTTGAATTGAATTCATGATCCTGGCATGTGGCACACTTCCAAGTTGGTAGCTAGCGTGCATAAGCATCAACCAGCGTATCAAGAAATTGAGACACAATGCCACGACGATGCACGGCACTCAAGCGGGAACGACAGCTCACCGTCAAATGCTGCACGGATGTATTGAGGCGAAGGTATTCAAAGACTAGTGGTACACTTTGCATCCGAACCTGGCGACAAAAGGGTGGCTAGCAACGACCTAATGAAAGCCAAGCATTTCATTGCAATTCACCTTTCGTGAAATTTAATTGCGTCCACTCTACAGCCCGAGGCGCTCGAAGCAGCCAAACAAGGCGTGGGCCAGTGAGATGTTCATTCGTGCTTTGACTGCGGAACATCCCCAACATGGATCAAGTCGAGGGCAGCGCCCCACTTCTGAGGGCCGAGTGCCTTCGTCAAGATGTCTCCCTTCTGCTCAGTTGTCACGATGTAATCTAGTTTGTAATTGGGATTCTCAAATGCTTCTGACAATGAGGCGATGTTGATTTTGTGAGTCTTTTGCAAGTGCCGCAATTTGGAAGAATATCCTTTTGATACAATCGCAAGGACTGCTTGGTTGTCCTCCCAACACTTCACAAGAATTTCACGGCCAAAGAGAAGTTTACAGGCAATCTCCAAGGGCATCACATCATTGTACACGGCAGTGGCTAAAGCCACAGTCTCGGATTCAGTCGTTGATCGGCTGGTGACAGTCTGCTTTCGGCTCACCCACACTAGAGGAAGGAAAGAGTTTTCGGCTTCAAGGGCAATGAAGTAACCCGAACAGCTCCTCATGGTGCTCACGCAGTCACCAAAGCTCGCGTCCACCCAACAGGACAAGCGCAAGCTCTCCAGAGGGTCATGCATGAAGGAATGCAAGGCATAAGTGGTTGTGCGACTCAAATAACCAATCAAGCGGGCGAGGCGCCTGTCATCAGCCTTACTCCACTTGGTTACGTGAGATCCCAACAAGTTAATGCCAACTTGCAAATCTGGCCGGCACAATCGAGCAAGCCACACACAACAACTTCATGACAATCTTCGCAGCACTGCCTAAGAGCTCCCCCCTGGCAGTGAGGTCCTCTGGGCTAAATGAACCATCTTCTAGATGCGGGGTGCTAGCAGCGCGCACTGGCATGTCTGTTAGCTCCTTATATCTCTCTACACATTGCTGAGCGAAATCTGCGGCTTGAAATGCGTAAGCTTTCTTACCTTTCCAAGTCACTTCCTGATGAGACCGCCCTAAGACGATGGTCAGAGGCATGGGTTGTTCGAGTTTCACCCGTTTCCCAAATTCCAGCCAGAAACCGCTATGCCGAGATTCTTCACCACTGAGCGTAAAGTCATCCACGTAGGCTGACAGAGCCATTTTAGAAGATTCGAACATGTAACAAGACGGTAAACAGCTGAATTCTTTGCCTCCCATCGACTGCAATGCCGCGTCAGCGTGCTTCCACCAGTGGGCCGAGGACTCTGGATGCCCATAAAGACTTTTCCGGAGCCTGGCACATGGTCGTACCACATGAGAAAACTTTCGTGGCACCAACTCTGGCGGTAAGATCACCCATGTTTCAACGCGAGTGGAGAGAGGGGCTTGTATGAAGGCCTTTACCGCATCAGCGGTGTCCTGGCGCCTGTCCCCATGCAATTACGAAGTTGAGCCCTGCAATTGAAGATGGTGCTGATGCAGCCAGCTCATCAAACACGGCGCTCAAACTTCTTGATTTTTCACTGCGTCTCCACGAAACACAATTCTTGCCTTCAGGGTCCACTCAGAGGGATCTCTCTCAAAGTGTTTTACTGAGACAATCACCATTAGTGATCCAACATGGATTTCAACCTTTTTGCGCTTTGCCCGGGCCAAGAGTTCTTCATGGGGAATGATACTGTCTTCCTCCCATGTGCCTTCTGCAAGGATCCCTGCTTTTTCTGATTGGACAGCCGCAAGAGCACCTGGATTACCAGACCACTCTTTGCGATCCAGGAGTTTGTGAACTCCTCCTAGCACGGGAACCTGGTCAACTTCGGCTTCATACATTGCAAGGTCAATCGGAAGGCACGGCAAGGCATGCGGCTGCCGATGCTCCTGCGAACTCACTGGCAAGGGCCTACAGGGCATGGATGAAATGTATTTCCATGTGATGTGCGGAAATATGGATTCTAGATGATTCTAGGATCACTCTGGCCATTTTCGGAGGATAAAATCCTGATTGGCGTGTGGCACTCCCTTGAATGGTAGTATGTCCTCCTTGCTCATGATTGCATTGGTACTGTGACAGGGTTTCAGCAAGTCGCTTCGACGATGTGACAATACGCCAAGGCTTCTTGCACGGCTTACCTTTAAAGGCAACTCCCAGCATGCAACCATCACAAGTCACTGAGAACAACTGATGGCGGTTGATCCACTTTGTGAGTTCAGGAAGCGCCCAGCCAGCACAAAAGCGCGGCCACTCGAAAGATACATCTCCACCCAATGCGAGGATAATTTCTGACACCTGCACAAAGGATCGGAGCATATTTCTTGACGCTTTCCTAGACCGATTCAAAGAGTCGCGCATCTCAGGGTACTTAAAGTAATTCAGGCGTTGCCATTGGGACCATGCAGTACATTCCAAACTACCATGGATCGAGCTTCCAGGCACGGCCGTAACCTGATAGCTTAACTGCTCAATGGCTTCTGAACTACTGAGGTCAATGCCGTCCTTGTGCAGTCGAACAACCTTGATGCCAAGCTCCTTTCCAACAGAACCTAAAGCTGACTCGGCGGAGCAACAAAACTCAAACAATATGTCACTTCCGAGGTTGGTACCTTTAGTTCGGTGACCCGGAGGGTCACTCGATATTCCCCGGATGGACATGTCTTTCACTAATGAGGCTGGCAAACCTAAGGTCTCCATGTCGTGATGGACTGCACGAGAAGCATCAACTCCTGACATGATCACAGCAGGGGCAGGCAGAGCGATGACCTCGTCATCAGAACTGACCTCACAGGGCTCAGTGTCCGAAAGGAATGATTCAGGTAAGTCATCGACTGCCGCAGGATCAAAACATATCAAAACTGGGCGAATACCCACTGCTGGCAGGTGAATGAACAGGGTCTTCACCTACTAGATCATCCGGATCTTCAAGAGCCGGAAGCATGTCATGATCAAGAGGCGTAGGCTCAAGTGACACGTAGGGGTCGATTACGTCAACGTCAGGAAAACAAGTCTCAACTGACGCTTCCGGCAGGTGATGGGCGTCTTCAATGCTTTTACAAGCTTCGTCGACGTCAGCACACTCAACAGGCTTAATGACGGGAGGACCAACCTTGGGAGGTCGCTCATGTGCGAAAGCATCTTCAAAGCGTTGCACACATTCTGTCGAATGATTGTATGTTGCAGCTTCACAACCTCGGCAGTCGGGAGTAGGGCCTAATTCAAGCAACCTACGCTGAGTAATGTAAATTCTCTTACCCTTGACACTGACCTGATCACCATCGGCGAACGGCAAAGGCAAAGGTTCCACTGCCTCAGGCATAGTGGGAGACTGGAAGTCATGAAGTGCACGATCTGCCGCCCTCTTTAGAGGGTAAATTGGGTCACCAGAAGGAACAACAAGCTCAACTTCCGGAACGTTGATGGGCGTGGCCCAGGCACCGGTTCTTGATCGGAGGCTTTCGTAGTTTAAGACAAGAGCAACCTCTCGGTACCTAAGGCCAAGTTCAATTCGCCACCCGGCAAATAAGCCTGGTGCTGCATTCGGGTCAAACTTCCCACCTGTCTTATTGCGATAGAACACCAATCGCCCAAGGGCATGCAACGGGCCACCAAACTCGGAACCCTTTGCAAGCGACCAAGACCCCCGGGACACCGACAAGGCAGTGGCAGCATACCGGCAGGACACCGGCCACAACTCAGGGCGAACTGAGAAACCAGCTGCTAGGTGCACACAACGGACAGTTTCCTCAAAGCTTCGCATG